CACAGGAGACCGACGTGAAACAACGTTGTGTTGTGTTTCGTCGTGTGAGTGAGGCTACCGGACCCATGCTTTGGCGAGAATGGGCCGGCTCGACCGGAGTGATACCATCGTAGGCCCAATTCCCCCCCCCCCTTTCTCCAACTTACCCAATCCCTGAATCCCTAACAATCCTCAAATTCCTAATCCCAGGGGGCCGGTAACGCACTTTTAACGCCTCTGGTGTTCCAGATCCGTCGTCGCGTCCATGGGCGACGCCGATTGTTTACCATCAGATCAGGTGATTTGTCTGCTCGTTTACCGGCTTATCCCATAAAATAAAATATTTTTGAAGGTTATTTTCTGCTGCAGTACATTTCAAAAACAGTTAGTTACCACAATCATAAAACAGAAATATTCTGGAAACTCCGAAGCCAAGGTTTAACATATTCTATTCTATAAACTATTTTATATACTGCCCTGAAACTTTAAACAGCTAACAATCATAGTCTACAGTTTTAATTTTCACAATAAAATGGCGGCTTCAAAAGTTTTCTTTTACGTCTGCGTCCAAAAATTCGTAGACGTGTGTGAAATTATATGGTTATTAGCCAATGGCGTCAGAATCGCTACACACGTTAGTCGACTTTTGTGTTTGACCTGCCATCAACGTCAATAGCCCAAAAAAAAGAAAATAGACAAGAAAAATATCTAGAAAAAAAATGGCTACACCTCCAGTCGAATCAGAATCGGACACAACATCCAAACCGCTTTCAAGTGACAGTGGTGAGTTATTTTCAGAATTTCATATATTTTCTCAAATAAACATGAGTATCAGTTTGTGTGAAAGAGACAGCTAATGTGAAAAAGAGACAAGAACACGAAAAAGTTCCGGTTCACGGAAATAATGCGAAAGTGAATGGAACAAAGGACTACCTAACTCATTATGATTAAATTTACTCATTCTTTGTGAATGAAAAATTACATTCAGGAATGGGTAAAGAATTAACTCGTGGATAAGTGACCTAGAAACTAGGTTGAAGCGGTTGACCTGAGTTCACGAAAGGATTTGACATGCTCCACATAGGCAATAAACAAACATCTTTATATGAGGGGAGAAAAGTTCGATCAACTTGGCGCACACACATTTCTTCTTGAAAAAGTGCTTCCAACTTTCAAACAGGAACTCTTAAACATATTTTTTACATTTCATAGGTCACGTAACACATTTTTACACATTTAGGAAATAATAAAATCTGTGGCTATGAACAACCTTGCAGGTTACCGGGGTCCTGCCTCGAAGCAGGAGTCCGCGGTGGTGTTTAGTCAGTAAAAGAGTCTGATAGTCTCTCTTGCCTCACCCAAGGCGAAAAAGTAATTTCATGATATTCCGCTCTAAAAAAAAGATGTGCCAAAATGTGTTTATAAACTTGTAAAGAGATTTTTTTCTGTAAAATGATTTACATTGATACGACTTTAATATTATATAATACCACTAGTTGTAGATTCCTATGTTGTGCAGTATACATACGTCTCGTGATTTATACGATGAAATATCATTAAAATTCCGTTAAAATTGAATTCACGAGAAAACTTTGATACATCTTTTGTCCATTGATTGAGTCTTGCAAGCATTTTTATTTAGAAAAATTAAAAACAAGAGCGTTGCAACTCACGGCAGCTTTATCACATTTTTCAATTAACAAAATATTGTAACATTTTTCCAACTAAATAAGAAATAAAAATAAAAACAGCGCTGTTGCTTGCGGCTCTCTTGTTTTATTACTATTAATTGAATTCTTTTGTTTTTAAATAATAATAGAATAACCATTTTATTGATCACGAGTTTCGAATTTATTTTATTAATTTTATTCGAATTCTTGTTTGTTGAAAACAAGATGGCCGCTCGTAACGGTTTCGAGAGAAAATACACTAAAGACACTAATTAATTATATCATTATTTTTTAAGTTTTGTAGTTACTATCAAATTCTGTGTGAACGTGTGTCATTGTGTACTTGTGGGTTAAAAGACCGAAAAGAAAAAAAAACATTTTATACAAAACCATTCAATCAATAGCGAAAAAAATATTGACACACCAAAATTTTGTTTTAAAGGCTTAAAATATATTTTTCATTTATCTGGTACTCATGAGCTCATTATTATCTATCATAATATTCCACACAAACAAATCTTTAAAACACAATTTACACTCAAATAGGTAATTTTATCTATGCCGCCATGTAACTCCTACGCGAAATGAAAGCAAATGTATGCAAAACTGAACGGCATACTTTGCGGTATAAACCAATTACAAGTCATTCTAATTTTAAACGTCTACACAGGCGTAAAGATTTTGATACTTTAAATAAAAAAAAAGTTTTTATGACATTATGTTTTTATCACTTATTTACTGTCTTAAAAGAAAGGTACTGACTGACTGAAGAAAG